GGTCGCATAGGAAAGCATTTACAATGCTTTCCTATGGACGCTTGCGTGCTCTCACTGTGATTTTCACAGTGAGAAGCACACAAGCGCCTCTAGCGGCTGTCAATGAGACAGCCACTAGAGGCTCTGGAGGCTGGATTAACCCTTAGTATAAACATAGCAGTTTCTCTGAAACTGCTTTGTTTATAAAAAAAAAAGGGTTAATCCTAGATGGACCTGGCACCCAGACCACTTCATTAAGCTGAAGTGGTCTGGGTGCCTAGAGTGGTCCTTTAATGGCAGAAAAATGCACTACAATTGTGTGTGCCACAACTTTCTATTTGCTGGACTAGACATTAAAGGGACACTCCAGATCGTAAAGCACTTTACCTTGCTAAAAAGCTTTATATGTTAAGAGTGTGTCCTGTTATTTTCATTTTACAAAAGTGCAGATTTCACTAGAAATTGACACTTTCATTAATTAACCTGTTAACACACCCTGGCTTTCAAGAAGACAAGACGCAATTTTACTTCCTGGTTTGGCTAGTTCAGTGCAGCTAAACTCAAGAGACAGCAACTGCCCATATCACCTGGGCTTATTGAGCTGCATTGGGAAGCCTGTTATAGGACAGTCTCCAAAAGTCTGGGCTGCGTTAGTAGGGCAGGGTTTTAAAAATCTGCAGACAAGAGAACTGCAGGTTTTGCAAAAGGTTTTTCGATATATCTCCAATTAAACAATGCACAGTTAAACGCATGCATTCTGTCATTTGGGATATATCTACTAACCTGTGATTTCTTTTATTTATTTTGTGTTTGGGAAGTGGAATGTCCCTTTATATGCCTTACTATGATGGCTATAACCATGTCCCCTTAGTCCTGACAGCTTGCCTTTTACTACAAACATTAATTATTTTTAGTTGAGTGTAAATATCATATTTATTCAAAAATGCGGATCACTCGAGTTCTGAAAAGGACGCTCTAAGCACCATAATCAATTGTAATGATTATGATGCTAGCAGGCTACTGGCACATTCCCCTTTTCTGTGTCAAACGTTTTTCCAGAGGTTTGACACAAACAGAGGGATCTGCGAGAGGCTTGAGATCCAGATTCTCGCTCACTATATTATCATTTTTTTTTAAAGTTATGCGTCTGCACAGCATTGTTAGTTTTGAATGGCATTGATTGGGTGAGAGTTTCAAGTCATTGCAGATACTCTAACATTGAAAGCCCCTGCAATCTGCATGTTTTAACTCTTTAAAGTGATTGCTTAGGCAATCCTACAGCAGTTGCGCTTGTAAAAATTAAAATCAGTCTAGCCCTTAAAACAATATTCTATTAAGAAATAAACTCATATTTTGAAGTAGTTGAAGCTTTAGCAGTGATTCAGGTAACATTTGCAAATCCTGACAAGCTTGGTTTTCATGAGAATAATTTCTGATAACAAAATAAATAAAATTCAGTCTGGTAGCCAGATACAATGTAGCCAATGGGTCTGTGTTAGGCTCACTGCATTTTGTGACTCAGGGGTAAAAGGTACTTGTGCCTTGTTAAAACTTGCAAATCATGGTTAGCTTGGGGATCTGTATTTGTGTTGCATTTTTACTTTATCCTTTGCCTTCCATTTGTTTTAATTCAATACCTTAGGCTTAGTTTATGAGATCTTCATATGATATACAAGGACAAGTATTCAAGGTTCTTGATACCAATCTGCTATAAAATAGCCAGTGGCGTCAGTGGAGATTTTTGTTATTGGTTTTTACAGGCTTTACCTTTTTAAAGGATTTAAAAGATATTTTTATCTTTTCTGTTGAAATGTTGTGCTTAATTCCATTTTACATAGAGCATCAATTTACCTCCCTATGCATAGAAGATTAAGCACAATCAAAGGAGCATCATGGCTCATCCTCTTCTATAGTGCCAAATGAGAAATAGTAATTTGCCATTATACAAAACAGGTGTTCAATTCTCTGAATCCTTGAATATTCATCTAAGCTTCAATTTTAAATGGATTCTCATGAAATAGATATTCTGAGATTCGGTTGTGTTTTTAATAACCCTACGCAAATAAATTTAATATGCATAGTTTCAGACACTGTTCTGTATGTGTAAATAATCTGTATACATGAAATCTTTTCTTCTCCTTTTTTTTTTTAATAGCTCGAGACTATCCAAGCACAGCTGGATTCCCTTACGTGATGTCTTAAAGACGGGTTCCTCTGCCGCACTCCTGCCACCTCATTATTTTGTATTGAAGATAGATTGGCAAGCTGTGTTTGCTAAAGGAATCAATGGTCTGCTTCCTGTAAAATTATATGGCTTATCTCCTCTTAGACTAGCAACATTAGCCAAGGGATATCATTGTGAACAATGCCTAGAGCCTAATTGACTTTCTGGTTGAGTTCTGTGAATACAAGGTACATTATGTATTACTTCAATAGTAATACTCAAGATGATTCTGCTCTTCCTTCAGGATTATAAAATATTCTGTATAATGAAATCCGTGTAAACTACACAGTATGGAAGAATATTATATACACTTAAGGGCAATGATCTTATAACCTATAAACAGAATTCTATAGTGGGGTTTTAAACATGTGGTTTAATCAGTTGTATTGGGAGCACCACACTGACATATATAGAAAAACATACAAAGACATGTTTATTCCACACCTTAACATTTTCAGCGCCACAATTAGTTTGCCGTATTTTCTTAATCTTTGCAAGACCGCGTAATCATTGCAAGTTAAATATATATGGGTTGGTTTTAATATATAACATTTTTTTTAGTAGCTCACTGCCTGTCTGCTAATCTAGTAGCTATATAGATTTCCAAATATGGACAGTACTTGCAGATTGTTAAATATTGTGCGTTTATTGCATGAAACGTGATATATAACATATTGATTGACTTGAAAGTCGAAACTGTGATTGCATGTTATATAATTTTAAAGATTTGCAAGTGCTGTTCATTTGCTGGGAATCATTAAACGAAATAAAAACGTATATACGTGTAATGTAATATGACTCATCAGAATAGAACTTTTAATATTGTACCGATAAACCAAATGTTTACTTCTGAAATGCAATGATTTTCCCTGAAGGCTAATGTTGTGAAATAAAATGATGGATTGAAACAACGACTGACCTGTGCTGTGTGAGAATGTATTGTGCAGTATTTCAATGCACAGTCACATGTATGGATATATCCACAATAAAACTATATTTGGCAGTGTACGCTTATTCACACAAGGGTCTAGCAGTTAAAGCACAAGTTATAAGTTAAGGAAACACATGTTCTGCAAAAATACATGATTTACATTCTTAAAAACCAAGTCACATATAATACATTATATAGCCAAATGTATGTGGTAACATGACTGCCACACCTATATGAACTTGTTGGACATCCCATTCCAAAACCACGGGCATTAGTATGGAGTTGCTCCTCCCATTTGCAGCTCCCATTTGCAACTCTAGCAACCACCACTCTTTGGAGAATGATTTCCACAGGAACATGCATTATATATGTTGGAATTTGTGCCCATTCAGCCAAAACTAAATTTGTGAGGTCAGGCACTGATGTTGGGTGAAACGGTTTGGCTCGAAACTAGCGTTGCAATTCCTTCCAAATATTAGGGTTCAGGTGCCAGCCACTCATTTTTCTCCACACCAGACTTGTCAGATCATGACTTCATGGACCTCGCTTTGTACACACGGGCACAAGAAAAGACCTTCCTCACTGTTGTCACAAATTGGAATTCATTCATATTAACATGAACATGATCCCTCCTCCACCAAACTTTACAGAAGGCATTACGTGTGTGTAATTTCATTGTAAGTATATAATATATGTTATTCATATATAATTACATTATTTTATTAATTATATATTGGGGGATCTGCCTGACAACCCAAGCAGCCCCCTGCAGGCAATCAAGCTGATCTAAATCATGTGATTGTGGTGTCCCCTGGTGCTGGCTGCCTGGTTTGCATTTTAGTCCCCCTGATGATAGCATCCGGTGAGGTAAGTATGATTCGGTGAAGCTGTAGGGGCACTGACGTTAGGACGCCCCAACGTCATTAAAGCCCATTGACTTTCTGGTTAAGTTCTGTGAATACAAGGTACATTATGTATTACTTCAATAGTAATACTAAAGATGATTCTGCTCTTCCTTCAGGATTATAAAATATTCTGTATAATGAAATCCATATAAACTACACAGTATGGAAGAATATTATATACACTTAAGGGCAATGATCTTATAACCTATAAACAGAATTCTATAGTGGGGTTTTAAACATGTGGTTTAATCAGTTGCATTGGGAGCACCACACTGACATATAAAGACATGTTTATTCCACACCTTAACATCTTCAGCGCCACAATTAGTTTGCAGTATTTTCTTCATTTTTGCAAGACCGCGTAATAATTGCAAGTTAAATATATATGGGTTGGTTTTAATATATAACATTTTTTTTAGTAGCTCACTGCCTGTCTGCTAATCTAGTAGCTATATAGATTTCCAAATATGGACAGTACTTGCAGATTGTTAAATATTGTGCGTTTATTGCATGAAACGTGATATATAACATATTGATTGACTTGAAAGTCGAATCTGTGATCGCATGTTATATAATTTTAAAGATTTGCAAGTGCTGTTCATTTGCTGGGAATCATTAAACGAAATAAAAAAGTATATACGTGTAATGTAATATGACTCATCGGAATAGAACTCTTAATATTGTACCGATAAACCAAATGTTTACTTCTGAAATGCAATGATTTTCCCTGAAGGCTAATGTTGTGAAATAAAATGATGGATTGAAACAATGACTGATCTGTGCTGTATGAAAATGTATTGTGCAGTATTTCAATGCACAGTCACATGTATGGATATATCCACAATAAAACTATACTTGGCAGTATATGCTTATTCACATAAGGGTCTAGCAGTTAAAGCACAAGTTATAAGTTAAAGGAAACACATGTTCTGCAAAAATACAAGATTTACATTCTTAAAAGCCAAGTCACATATAATACATTATATAGCCAAATGTATGTGGTAACATGACTGCCACACCTATATGAACTTGTTGGACATCCCATTCCAAAACCACGGGCATTAGTATGGAGTTGCTCCTCCCATTTGCAGCTCCCATTTGCAACTCTAGCAACCACCACTCTTTGGAGAATGATTTCCACAGGAACATGCATTATATATGTTGGAATTTGTGCCCATTCAGCCAAAACTAAATTTGTGAGGTCAGGCACTGATGTTGGGTGAAACGGTTTGGCTCGAAACTAGCGTTGCAATTCCTTCCAAATATTAGGGTTCAGGTGCCAGCCACTCATTTTTCTCCACACCAGACTTGTCAGATCATGACTTCATGGACCTCGCTTTGTACACACGGGCACAAGAAAAGACCTTCCTCACTGTTGTCACAAATTGGAATTCATTCATATTAACATGAACATGATCCCTCCTCCACCAAACTTTACAGAAGGCATTACGTGTGTGTAATTTCATTGTAAGTATATAATATATGTTATTCATATATAATTACATTATTTTATTAATTATATATTGGGGGATCTGCCTGACAACCCAAGCAGCCCCCTGCAGGCAATCAAGCTGATCTAAATCATGTGATTGTGGTGTCCCCTGGTGCTGGCTGCCTGGTTTGCATTTTAGTCCCCCTGATGATAGCATCCGGTGAGGTAAGTATGATTCGGTGAAGCTGTAGGGGCACTGACGTTAGGACGCCCCAACGTCATTAAAGCCCATTGACTTTCTGGTTAAGTTCTGTGAATACAAGGTACATTATGTATTACTTCAATAGTAATACTAAAGATGATTCTGCTCTTCCTTCAGGATTATAAAATATTCTGTATAATGAAATCCATATAAACTACACAGTATGGAAGAATATTATATACACTTAAGGGCAATGATCTTATAACCTATAAACAGAATTCTATAGTGGGGTTTTAAACATGTGGTTTAATCAGTTGCATTGGGAGCACCACACTGACATATAAAGACATGTTTATTCCACACCTTAACATCTTCAGCGCCACAATTAGTTTGCAGTATTTTCTTCATTTTTGCAAGACCGCGTAATAATTGCAAGTTAAATATATATGGGTTGGTTTTAATATATAACATTTTTTTTAGTAGCTCACTGCCTGTCTGCTAATCTAGTAGCTATATAGATTTCCAAATATGGACAGTACTTGCAGATTGTTAAATATTGTGCGTTTATTGCATGAAACGTGATATATAACATATTGATTGACTTGAAAGTCGAATCTGTGATCGCATGTTATATAATTTTAAAGATTTGCAAGTGCTGTTCATTTGCTGGGAATCATTAAACGAAATAAAAAAGTATATACGTGTAATGTAATATGACTCATCGGAATAGAACTCTTAATATTGTACCGATAAACCAAATGTTTACTTCTGAAATGCAATGATTTTCCCTGAAGGCTAATGTTGTGAAATAAAATGATGGATTGAAACAATGACTGATCTGTGCTGTATGAAAATGTATTGTGCAGTATTTCAATGCACAGTCACATGTATGGATATATCCACAATAAAACTATACTTGGCAGTATATGCTTATTCACATAAGGGTCTAGCAGTTAAAGCACAAGTTATAAGTTAAAGGAAACACATGTTCTGCAAAAATACAAGATTTACATTCTTAAAAGCCAAGTCACATATAATACATTATATAGCCAAATGTATGTGGTAACCTGACTGCCACACCTATATGAATTTGTTGGACATCCCATTCCAAAACCATGGGCATTAGTATGGAGTTGCTCCTCCCATTTGCAGCTCCCATTTGCAACTCTAGCAACCACCACTCTTTGGGGAATCATTTCCGTAGGAACATGCATTATATATGTTGGAATTTGTGCCCATTCAGCCAAAACTAAATTTGTGAGGTCAGGTACTGATGTTGGGTGAAAAGGTTTGGCTCCAACCTAGCGTTGCAATTCCTTCCAAATATTAGGGTTGAGGTGCCAGTGTCATACCTCCTTGCGGCCCACGCCGCTCCGGTCCCGCCGTCCTTCCTGCTCCGCCGGGCTGTGCGGACTTCTGGCCGGGTCACGCTCGCGCTGTTTCCAATAGGGGTGCGCGTGGCTTGTCTTGAAATGCTTAAAGGGACAGCACCCATGTATTACACTCTATTTATATTCTACCCTATTCTATCCATAACCTATCAGAGACTACCTTGCCCTATTTATACCTTCTTTTTATATCGCTTCCTTGCCCTGTCGTGGTTTCTTGTAGCCCGAGATTGCGTTCTGTTAACTTGTGTCTCTTTGGTATCTGATTTGGCTTGTCTTTTGGTTATTCTTATCTCTGGCTTCCTTGACCTTTGTCTTTGTTTTCCGTTTACGCTTCCTGCTCTAACCCTGACTTTGGCTCGTCTGACGTTCCTATTTTGTATTTCTCCTCTTTAAGTCCGGCCACTTTAACCCCTTAAGGACCAAACTTTTGGAATAAAAGGGAATCATTACGTGTCACACATGTCATGTGTCCGTAAGGGGTTAAGGACCGGTAATACGTTTATCTGGGGTTGCCTCTCTTGTTCTTTAGTTTGCGTGTTGGGGAGCTCAACCTTGACATTACGACAGGGCCATGGACCCTGCAAACTTGGGGCAACAATTGGCAGCTTGCGAAAATAGAATTGAGGGTTTAGATCGTAGGATGGATCAGTTTGCCCAAGCTTTGCAAACCATCCTCACTAGAACTGCTTGCCTCCAGCAAGAGGCGGATGAGAACAGTGCTCATGGTGCTTTAACCTTACCATCCACTTCCCATCCTACACCATCAGTTCGTCTCACCCCTCCTCCCCATTATTCCGGGGATCTGTCTTTATGCAGGGGCTTTTTGAACCAGGTGGGGGTACATTTTGAAATGGCTCCCAATTTTATTTCCCACTGACAGGTTTAAGATAGCGTTTATCATGAACCTATTAGATGGTAAAGCTTTAGCTTGGATAAATCCTTTGAGGGAAAATTATGATTTGATTGTATTTGATCTTGAACTATTTCTCAGGACTTTCAGGAATGTGTTCAGTCCCCCAAGCAGAAAGAGACTAGCTGCCAGGGCTCTATTAAAAATAAAACAGGGATCTAGATCTGTGGCTGACTATGCCATTGAATTCCGTACGTTAGCCTCTGAGGTAACCTGGAATAATAGTGCCCTGACAGCTGTTTTTTTTGAGGGACTCACTGAATCCTTACAAGATGAGGTGGCAGCTTCCAGAGCTCCTCGAGGATTTGATACAATATATGTCAGACATAGATATAAGGGTCAGGCAGAAACATCTTTATCTAGATAGGCAAAGAAAGGCTTTAGGGTGAACTGCTCCTCGTCCTATGGTAACCGGATTTCCAACCTTACCGGCACCTGAACCTGATCCCGAACCCATGCAATTAGGTACTACCAGACTCTCTGAGGCTGAAAAGTCTTACAGAAGGAGGGAAGGGTTGTGCCTATATTGTGGCAAAAAAGGGCATCTACGTAACAACTGCCCATCTTGCCCGGAAAACTACACTGCCTAAGCTCGTTCAGGGGACCGGCCTTGGGTGTAATGTCTCTGTCCCCTAAAACAGCTCAACACAGGTGTCTTATACCTGTAACCCTTTCCTGGGGAAAGTTTTGTCACCAAACTATGGCCCTTATTGACTTTGGTTCAGCTGACAACTTTATTGACCAGGCCTTTTCATCATGCATTTCTCTTCCTTTGGAAGAGAGAAAAACACCCTTTGCCGTTGAGGCCATAGATGGTAGACCTTTAACAGTCCCATATATGACACGCCAAACAGAAGCTGTTATTGTAGTGGTGGGCGCAACCCATCAAGAAAAATTGTAATTTCAAGTCATTTCTTCTCCTTCTTGTCCCCTAGTTATTGGTTTTCCCTGGTTACAAAAACATAACCCTATTCTTGATTGGAGAGAAAGACAGGTTTTGTCTTAGAGCCCCTCATGTGAACCTACTTGCATAAAACATGTTAGACCCCTCTGCTCTCTTACTGTTCCTACGTCCCCTCCTCTATCCACTATTGTGCCACCTCAATACCAGGATCTTAAGAGAGTGTTTGATAAAGTGGAGGCGGACCGTCTTCCTCCTCACAGATCCTACGATTGTGCCATCAAGCTTATTCCTGGCACTATGCCACCCAAGGGAAGAAAATACCCTCTATCTAAAATAGAAAATAAGGTTATGGAGGAGTACATACAAGAATCCCTAAAAAAGGGATTTATTAGGCATTCTTCTTCTCCAGCAGGGGCAGGTTTCTTTTTTGTTTCTAAAAAAGAGGGGGATCTTCACCCATGTATAGATTATAGAGGCCTAAATAAGATTACTCTTAAGAATGCTTACCCCATACCCTTGATAACAGAACTCTTTGACAAATTTCGTGGTTCTAAAATATTTACCAAACTAGATCTTAGAGGATCATACAATCTTGTTCGCATCAAAGAGGGAGATGAGTGGATGACGGCATACACCGTTATGCCCTTCGGTCTGTGTAACGCTCCTGCCGTCTTCCAAGATCTCATCAATGATGTTTTAAGGAACTATTTACACACTTGTGCTATTGTATATCTCGACGATATACTCATTCACTCTCCTGATATACAAACTCATCACAGACACTTCTTGCCAACGGCTTGTATTGTTATAGACACTTCTTGCCAACGGCTTGTATTGTAAACTCAAGAAATGTTTATTTGATCAAACTTCCATTCACTTTGTGGGTTACATAATATCTGCTAAAGGGTTTCAAATGGACCCTAAAAAACTATCTTCCATTCTTGAATGGCCTTTACCCATTGGACTAAAGTCCATAGAGAGATTCATTGGGTTCGGCAATTATTATAGACGGTTCATCAAAAACTTTTCTCAGATAATAGCTCCAATTACTGCTATGACTAAAAAGGGAGCGGATCACGTCTATTGGTCAATGGACGCTAAGGCCTCCTTCTCTGGCTTAAAGAAAGCTTTTGCATCTGCTCCTGTCCTGGTACACCCAAATCCTTCTAGACCCTTCATCCCTGAAGTAGATGCCTCTGAATCCAGTGTAGGAGCTATCCTTTCCCAGAGGGAGTCTCCAACCGCTCTATTGCATCCTTGTGGGTTATTTTCTCATAAATTAACACCTGCAGAAAAGAATTACGATATAGGTAATAGATAATTATTGGCTATAATCTTAGCTCTTAAAGAATGGCGTCACTTACTTGAAGGTTCTTCCGTACCTCTCATGGTTCTTACTGATCATAAGAATTTATCATATTTCAGTGACGCCAAAAGACTTTCTTCCAGAGAGGCACGCTGGGCTCTTTTTCTTTCCCGTTTTAACTATCTAATCTCATATCGACCAGGGAATCGTAATATCAAAGCCGATTCACTGTCCAGACATTTTGCTACTCTCAATAAGGAGGAGGAAATAACTGAACCCGTTATACCCCCTGAGAGAATTATTGCAGTAACTAGAACCAGAGTTTCATCTCTCCTTATGCACAAAATTCAAAAGGCTCAAGATAGGGCGCCAGTTGACAAACCTGCTGAAAAATATTTTGTTCCTCTTAATTAAAGAGGAGAAGTATTTTGCCACTACCATGATAGTAAAATGGCTGGACACATGGGGGTGTCCAAGACTATTGATTTAATCGCCTGGCAGTATTGGTGGCCGTCCCTCAGGAAGGACGTACAAGCCTATGTATTGCCCTGTGATGTATGTTCTCAGTCCAAACCTTCTCATCAAGTACCATGTGGTCTTCTGCATCCTCTACCGTCTGTTCCATGGTCACAATTATCTATGGATTTTATTGTAGAACTACCACCATCGAAAGGTTTTACTGTTATTTTGGTTGTAGTAGATCGTTTTTCTAAGATAGCACACTTCATTCCATTAAAGAAGTTACATTCTTCTGCTGAATTAGCCAACATTTTCTCTAAGGAAATAATAAGTCTACATGGTATGCCTGACATAATCGTGTCTGATAGGGGCTCACAATTTATCTCGAAGTTTTGGAAGGGCTTTTGCAGACATGGGTATTGAGCTCGCTTTGTCCTCTGCTTATCATCTACAGACCAATGATGCTGCTGAACGGACTAATTAAAGCCTTGAGCAATACCTCCGCTGCTTTACGTCTCAACTCCAAGACAACTGGGCTGACCTTCTTCCCTGGGCTGAATTTGCCAGAAATAATGCCAAACATTCTGCCTCTGGCCACAGTCCCTTCTTCGTCACTTATGGTCGAATTTGCTCCCGGCTTCGTTCTCATACAAAGAAATGCCAGTTCTGGACGAGCACTTGTCTACCATACAGGAAACTTGGAGAAGGGTTCATGCCATCTTGGAAAAGACTACTCTTACTCAGAAATCCTTTGCTGATAGGCACCGTAGAGCAGCACCTTCTTATGTTAAATTCAAGAAACCACTATGGTACTCCGCAGATGTGGCCAAAATTGTTAAAAACAAAAAGTTAGCATTTAGGAA